AAATGAAAAAAAAAAAAAAAAAAATTAGCTGGGAGTAGTGGTGCATGCCTGTAACCTCAGCTACTTGGGAAGCTGAGGCACAAGAATCACCTGAACCCGGGAGGCAGAGGTTGCAGTAAGCCAAAATCACATCCCTGTGCTCCGGCCTGGGCAACAGAGTGACTGGCTCAAAAAAAAAAAAAAAAAAAAAAAAAAAAAAAAATGTGGTGCTGTGGTCCCCACAGGAACTGGCTTACACTCTAGTTAAAAGCCCAATTGTTATCTCCAAGTTCTAACCCCTGTTTACCCTGGCAATCTCAACCTCTGAGCTATTTCTAAGGGCAGAACAATCAAATAGGCTGCTATGATTAAAATCCCAAGCCACCTTATAAAGTTTCATCATTCCTGAATCATAGGTCTTGTATTAATTACAGTAAATACTCCTAAGTATTATTACCCAAATCCTGAAATCTCAGTGGCTTAACAAATAAAATTCAATGTGGGTCAGGAGTGTGGCAAATACTCCTCCATGCAGTCATTTGGAGACTCAGGCTCATTCCACCAAACATCTAAATCTCCTCTGTTGAATCCTTTCTGCATCTTGTCAACTAAAGAAAAAAAAAAAAGCAAAGGAAAGTGCATGGGAGATATTTCAGCATCTTGGAAATGACATACATTAGTTCCTCACGCATTTCATTAACCAGACAATAGGTATATGGCCCCACACAGCTGAAAGGATGCAGGGAAATGCAGTCTAGCTGTATGCTAAAAAAGAAAAAAAAAAAAAAAATTAAGACAACAGGGTGTTTTGGTTAACATTGCTGTTACAAATTACCCCAAAACTTGGTGACTATTATCACTCCATTTCTGTGGATCAGGAATTTGGGAGATTAGACAGGTGCGTGTACTGTGGGGTCTTTCTCATGAGGTTACAGTCAGATGCTAATCAGGACTGCAGTCATCTTGAAGTCTCAACTGGGGCTGGGAAGGGTTTATTTGCATAGCTGACATATTGCTGGCTGTTGGCAGGCCTCAGTTCCTCTCAACATAACACCTTTCCAGTGGGCTGCTTGAGTGTCCCTGGCCATAGCAACTGGCTTTCCCAAGTATCTTAGTCTGTTCTGGCTGCTAGAAAAGAACACCACAGCAGCCTGGACAACGTGGTGAAACCCCATCTCTACAAAAAATACAAAAAGTAACCAGTGTGATGGCATGAACCTGTAGTTCCAGCTACAGGTTCCAACTACCTGTACTTCCTACAGGAAGAGAGGTGGGAGGATCACCTGAGCCCAGGGAAGTCGAGGCTGCAGGGAGCCATGATCACGGCACTGCATTCCAGCCTGGGCAACAGAGTAAGAAAAACCCTGTTTCGGGGGGGAAAAAAATGCTATAGACTTGGGTGGCTCATAAACCACAGCAATTTCTTTCTCACAGTTCTAGAGGATAGGAAGTCTAAGATCAAGGCACTGGCAGATTCAATGTCTGGTGAGCCCACTTCCTGGTTTGTAAGGACTTTTTTCTCATTGGGTTCCCACACAGTGAAAGGGGCAGGAGCTCTCCAAAGTCTCTTTTATAAGGGCACTCACCCCACTCATAAAAGCTCCGGCCTCATAATTTAATCACCTACCAAAGACCCCACCTTCTAATACCATCACATCGGAGGTTAGAATTTCAACATATGAATTTTGGGAAACATATTCAGTCAATAGCTGTGAGCAATCCAAGAGACCACAGTGTAAGTCATAAGGCCTTTTGTGATGCAGAAATCATACTATCATTTGTACCATACTGTTTATTACAGATCAGCTCAGATTCAATGAGAAACACAAGGGTGCAAATACCAGAAGTGAGGATCCTTGTGGGCTATCCTGGAGACTGGCGACCACATGAGATTTGGTGAATATATGCCACAAGACAGTTTTGGGCAGAGAGGTCACAGACAGAACCAGCAAAACAACTTGGTGGTTGGCTACCTGACTTATTAACACTAGCTTAACTAAATCATTGGGAAAGACAATATACATGATAAAAGCCGAGCCAATCCTCTTATACATAATACAAATGCATTCATTATTTCATTCTTTACTGTGGCACAAATCCCTCCAAAACTTCTCCCTACACCTTCCCTCAACATAAAATATAAACTCATAAAAACACTAGGAAAGACCAGGGACGGTGGCTCATGCCTGTAATCCCAGCATTTTGGGAGCCAAGGCGGGCAGATCACCTGAGGCTGGGAATTTGAAACCAGCCTGACCAACATGGAGAAACCCCATCTCTACTAAAAATACAAAATTAGCCAGGCATGGTGGCGCATGCCTGTAATCCCAGCTACTCGGGAAGCTGAGGCAGGAGAATCGCTTGAACCTGGGAGGTAGAGGTTGCAGTGAGCTGAGATTGCACCATTGCACTCCAGCCTGGGCAACAAGAGCGAGACTCAGTCTCAAAAAAAAAAAAAAAAAGTACTAGGAAAACAAAAATAATATTTTAAAATCCTCTTAGGATGGGAAAGGCTTATGAAATAAATTTAAGATGGATGTATTAACTATATAAACATTTTTTTTTTTTTGAGACGGAGTCTTGCTCTGTCGCCCAGGCTGGAGTGCGGTAGCGCGATTTCGGCTCACTGCAACCTCCGCCTCCTGGGTTCACGCCATTCTCCTGGCTCAGCCTCCCAAGTAACTGGGACTACAGGCGCCCGCCACCATGCCCGGCTAATTTTTTTTTGTATTTTTAGTAGAGACAGGGTTTCACCGTGTTAGCCAGGATGGTCTCGATCTCCTGACCTCGTGATCCGCCCGCCTCGGCCTCCCAGAGTGCTGGGACTACAGGCATGAGCCACCGCGCCCGGCCAACTATATAAACATTTTAAACACCATAAACAAAGTAAGGAGACAAATGAAAAATTGGGGGAAAAATTATGTGTTGCACATAAAGAGCCAATTTCCCTTCTCTCCCCACCTCCAAAAAAAAAAAAAAAAAAAAAAAAACTATTTTAAAAAATCACTAAGAGGAAATAAAATTTTAAGAAAAACAACTTTCAATTAAATGTGTCAAAACGCTACAACAATCTTTTTAGATTAAAAATGGAAGGCCGGGCACAGTGGCTCACACCTGAAATCCCAGCACTTTGGGAGACCAAGGCACATGCATCACCTGAGGTCAGGAGTTCGAGACCAGCCTGGCCAACATGGTGAAACCCCCTCTACTAAAAATACAAAAATTAGCAAGGCATGACGGTGTGCGCCTGTAGTCCCAGCTACTTGGGAGGCTAAGGCAGGAGAATTGCTTGAAACTGGGAGGCGGAAATTGCAGTGAGCCATTGTGCCACTGCATTCCAGCTCCTGGATGCATTCCAGCTCCACTCGTGGATAACTCTCTCAAAAAAAAAAAAAAAAAGAAAAAAGAAAAAACCTGTTAAGTATGAAGAGAATGGGAGAAGAAACAAAGTATTAAGTTTTGGAAGCTGGAAAGTGCCCTGTAAATCCCAGCACTTTGGGAGGCCAGGGCAGGCAGATCACCTGAGCTCAGGAGTTTGAGACCAGCCTGGCCAACATGGTGAAACACCATCTCTACCAAAAATACAAAAATTAGCCAGGCGTGGTGGCACATGCCAGTAATCCCAGGTACTCAGGAGGCTGAGTGAGGCAGAATCGCTTGAACCCAGGAGGTGGAGGTTGCATTGAGCTGAGATCACACCACCGCACCACCGCCTGGGTGAAACAGCAAGACTCTGTCTCAAAAAAAAAAAAAAAAAAAAAAAATTAAAAAAAAATAGAACCTTAGAAAGGCCAGGGTACATGGTGAGACTAAAAACAAAAGGTTGGCTGTCAGTCTACATGAAAACCCAGACCCGGACACGTTCCCTTTCCTACTCTCTATGACATAGCCAGATTCATGCACAACTTAAATATGTTTATTAATGTGTGCATACACATTTAGAACAATGAGGTTTCAATTGGAAAAGTGAATTCTAGGTAAAATATTTTCAAGTCTTTATAATAAATATTCAGATGGAGTTTAAATAGCAAGGAAATACCAATGTATGGCTTCACATGGTCATCAAAGATTGTGTGACAAACCTACTTTCATCCCTTCCAAATTATGCCCAGAGTCCAGGGGAAATGTGTGCTGAACATAAAGCATTGTTTTTTTTTTCTCGCTCTGTCGCCCAGGCTGGAGTGCAGTGGCACAATCTCTGCTCACTGCAAGCTCTGCCTCCCAGGTTCACACCATTCTCCTGCCTCAGCCTCCCAAGTAGCTAGGACTACAGGCGCCTGCCACCATACCCAGCTAATTTTTTGTATTTTTAGTAGAGATGGGGTTTCACCATGTTAGCCAGGATGGTCTCAATCTCCTGACCTCGTGATCCACCCACCTCGGCCTCCCAAAGTGCTGGGATTTACAGGTGTGAAAATCATTGTTTCTAAACCCAAAATCATCAATTTGCTATGTTCTTAGAAAACGTGAGAATTAGCTTAAAAATTTAATTTGTACCTATTTTAACCTGGAAAGATATTTCAAAGTTAAAGCTAAATTTATAAACTCTCATTATTTGTCTTCAAAGACTAGTAACACCATTAAAACAATGCAATGTTCATATGTTGAGTCCTCCTTGGGAAGAAAAAGCAAGAAACCTCCAAAACTGTAAACCCACCTTCACATATTCCAACAAATATATTTTTAAAATAACAAATCAAATGCAACATTCAGAGAGACTATAAGCCATGCAACAATGTCTTTTATTATGTATGCGGTTTTAAAATTATTTCTTGAATCTCTCCATACACAGGCAAAAATAAGCGTGTTACTTAACATACTGGAACTTGCCTAACTTAATCATTGCCTAGAGAAGAGAAAATTATCCCCAAAACGTGCTTAACCAGGAGGCCAATGCATCTGCCGACCTCCAAGAACATGGAGATGAACGTGATAGACAGACTGTCCACCATCTGAACCTTCATTCACCACCATTCGATAACCCTTATTCAGGCCCAGATCAGCAGCACATTTCTTGCCAACAATCATTAAGTGTCCAAGAAGCTGGAAAAGGAAAAAAAAAGTTTCTCAGGCACAGGCAATTTATTACTTCTTGACATTAAATAACAAACTGTCAAGCTGAAATATCAAATCTTAAAACTCTCACTGAAACACACCCCTTTGAGCAAATATTTGGAAACTGTTAATGCCAACAGAGCACAATCTACAAATGGAGACCCATTAAGATTAGGCATTTATCATTACTAATTTCAAGAAACAAATTATAAGTAAAATCTGCTGTTCAATTAAACTCTTTTTTTTAAGAGACGGGGTCTTGTTCTGTCACTCAGGCTGGAGTGCAGTGGCATGATCTCAGCTCACTGCAGCCTCGACCTCCCAGGTTGAAGTGATCCTCCTGCCTCACCCACCCAAGGGGCTGGGACTACAGGCACATGCCACCACACCTGGCTAATTTTTGTATTTTTTTGTTGAGACGGGGCTTCTCCATGTTGCCCAGGCTGGTCTTGAACTCCTGTGCTCGGGCAATCCGCCCACCTTAACCTCTGAAGTACTGGGATTACAGGCACAAGGCACTATGCCAAACCAAAAAAAAATTTTAATTATATTCCAAGTAGTGTTTATGTTTTCTTAATAAAGCAAGACATCTTGCTTTCTTTATGATTTCCTTATGACCATTATGGATTTTCCTGTGAACACTACCAGATCTATTGCATTGCCTGCGGACTTGTAGGATCCTGTGGCAAATACCTAGTCTCACTGTGTCATCCTGTTTGTTTTTTGGTTCTATCTACAGTCAATTTGTCTCTATTTACACAAGGAGTCCACTTGTGTGTTGCCAGTTTTCTTCCCTAATAAAAGTTAAAGGGGAGAAGGTTGGTGAGAGAAAAGAACTTTAACTCCCATTTCACTGCTTATGCTTTCCCATTGTGAGAGAAAAAAGTTGAGAAGGTTAACTTCAACATTCTAAAAAGCTCTCAGGAAAGGGAACTCCTTTAATTCCTATGGCAAGAAAAGAGCGAAGGGAGAGAATCTTACATTTGTAGTCCCATTACCTTAGTAAGCCCCAGGACAGTGGACTCTGCTTACCTTATTTATGCAGTAAGGTCCATTGTACAGGTGGGCAATGAACAAAATTGTAAGTTGGGGAAATTATGATTTTTCAACTTTACAATGATGTGGAAGCGATATGCATTCAGGAGAACCCATACTTCAAATTTTGATCCTTTTCCAGACTAGTGATATGCAGTAAAATACTCTTACATGAGATATTCAACTTTGTTACAGAATAGGCTCTGTATTAGATGATTTTGCCCAACTGCAGGTTAATGTCAAATGTTCTGAGCAAGCTTAAGTTAGACTAGGCTAGGCTATAATGTTCAGTAAGTTAGGTGTATTACATGCATTTTCGACATACAGTATTTTCAACTTATGATGGGTTTATCAGCATGTAACCCTATCTTAAGTTGATGAGCATCTATATAAAATTTTGTACAGCAGGTACCTATACTGGTCACAAAATTTAATTATTAATGAGCAGTTTTAAAACTGGTTCAGTAAATGTTTCCTGGCAAACAACTGTCTTCTAAGTAAAAGAGCTGACTTTAAAACACCAATTTAGAATGTTAACTGAGTAAAAATTCACATTTTATTATCCTTATAGAAAAGAGCTGCATTGGAGTAAGAAGCTCTGACCTTAAAATGCCATGACTGTCTAATTATACTAAATGGTAAAAATTTGTATTCTGGGGCCGGACGCGGTGGCTCACACCTGTAATTCCAGCACTTTGGGAGGCCGAGGTGGGCAGATCACCTGAGGCTGGGAGTTCGAGACTAGCCTGACCAACATGGAGAAACCTTGTCCCTACTAAAAATACAAAATTAGCCAGGCGTGATGGCACATGCCTGTAATCCCAGCTACTCAGGAGGCAGAGGTTGTGGTGAGCCGAGATTGTGCCATTGTACTCCAACCTGGGCAACAAGAGCAAAACTCCGTCTCAAAAAAAAAAAAATGTATTCTGAGGTTTTAATGTTACTGCATATAAGATGGTATTTTACCATTAAGTACTCGCTCTAATCTTTGAACTCTGTGATTTGTACAAATATATTGAATTAAAAATTAATGTCCTGAAGTTTCTAAGTTTCAGAAATAACGTCTCACTTTAAAAAGTATCCCCAAGTAAATACAACTGACCCTTGCACAACATGGGTTTGACCTGTGCGGATCTACCCATAGGCAAATTTTCTTCTGCCTCTGCCACCCCTGAGACAGCTATAGCTAGACCAACCCCTCCTCTTCCTCAGCCTACTCAACATGAAGATGACAAGGATGAAGACCTTTATGATTCACTCCACTTAATGAATAGTAAATATATTTTCTCTTCCTTACGATTTTCTTAATAACCTTTTCTCTAGCTTACTTTAAGAATACAATAGGCCAGGTGCGGTGGCTCACGCCTGTAATCCCAGCACTTTGGGAGGCAGAGGAGGACAAATCACAAGGTCAGGAGATCGAGAGCATCCTGACTAACACAGTGAAACTCCATCTCTACTAAAAATACAAAAAATCAGCCAGGTGTGGTGGCGGGCACCTGTAGTCCCAGCTACTCGGGAGGCTGAGGCAGGTGTGAACCTGGGAGGCGGAGTTTGCAGTGAGCCAAGATCGGGGGCACCACTGCACTCCAGCCTGGGTGACAGAGCAAGACTCCATTTCAAAAAAAAAAAAGATAATAGCAAGTGTTGATAAGGATATGCAGAAGATGGAATGCTCATTCATTGCTGGTGGGATACAAAATGATGCAGCAACTTTGGAAAACAGCTGGGCAATTGAAATCTTAATGGTTTTTCTAGTTTTTCCTTAATAATGACCTTAGGAAGATGAAAATGTGACAGCACTTTAAGGACAAAATTAATCTCCCAATTTAAAAAGCAAGAAAATAAATCATGTTAGAAATTTACTTACACTTTCATCATCATCTTCTGCTGCAGAAATCTGGGATATATGTTTCTTGGGTATCACCAGAAAATGTGTTGGTGCTTGAGGGGAAATGTCGTGGAAAGCAAGGCACTAGGGAAAAGGGAAAGAAATAAATAAATCAAACTTTTAGTATATTGGTAGGATAAAACTTATTTCAACAAATATTTACTGAACAGTAACTACATGGGGAGCACTAGATGCTAAGAAAACAGAAGTGTACACATTATGAATGGTGCCGTGATCCTTTCCATGGAAGTTGTTTTTTTTTTTTTTTTTTTTTTTTTTTTTGAGATGTAGTCTCACTCTGTCACCCAGGCTGGAGTGCAATGGCAAGATCTCAGCTTACTGCAACCTCCGCCTCCTGGGTTCAGGCGATTCTCTTGCCTCAGCCTCCCAAGTAGCTGGGATTACAGGCATGTGCCATCATGCCCAGTTAATTTTTGTGTTTTTGTACAGACAGGGTTTCACCATGTTATCCAGGCTGGTCTCAAACTCCTGACCTCAGGTGATCCATCCGCCTTGGCCTCCCAAACTGCACCCAGACTCCATGGAAGTCTTATGGGAAGACCAACTTTAAATAAAGGTATAATCACCAAAGGTCATACATGTTACAAAGTAAAGGATAATATGAATGATTATTACAGGAAAAGCCTGATTTAGATTGTTTAGGGACAACAACTCTGAGGCAGTGACATTTAAACTGGGAGCCAATGAATGCATAGAAACTGGCCATGCTAATCCTTGTCTGCCTCTCCAGATCTCCTGCAACTCTTCACGTGGAACTGTCCTTCTGAGCTCTCCGCCCTCAAAGCTTTTTCAGTGATCCTCTCCCCCTCCAAACCCCAACTTCTGTCTAACTTAAACTGCTAGTCATCCCGCCATTCCATTCCCAGCACATATATGATTTCTGGAAGAAAAAAGAAAAAAAAACAGAAAAAAACCTCTGATTCCCCTCCCCGTCCCATTACTCCCAGGTCAGAGTCCTAGTTGTGCAATTTCCTGTGTGTGTGTGTGTGTGTTTTTTCTTTATGATAGCAATCAGTTTTTTAACTACGTATATGTCTGCTATTTGATTAATATCTATTCTCACTTTACTCAACTATTTAAGAAATATACCTATCCTTTTGTGTAAAACTGAAGAGTACATATATGATACATACTCTTCGGCATTTAGACTATTTAACACAGTGTCTGTAAATACACACACGACATTAATATTTTTGTATCTCTTGCTCACTGCTGAAGTGAAAACTGTTTTAATAAAACCCATCCACACTTATTTGTCTCAGGAGTAATTCTACTGGGTACTCCCTACAAAATGCTGATTCATTTAGACTGCTTCCTGCTGTTATACAGTTGGACTTCGGTGGTTCAAATGTAAATTTTTCAACAACCATTTCTCAAAGGCAACTGCAAACTTTAAAAAGAAATATTTTTTTCTAAAACCAAAGAATTACCCCTGAGTAGAGACAAAGTTTTTTTTTTTTTAATTCGCCTGGAGGAACCTAATTAAATCTTTGATAACGTTTTGAATCTAACTAAACGACAATAGTAGAATAAATGTTTTTCTTATATTTCATATTTCCTAAATTTAACAAAACTGTTTACAAAATTGTTCTATCTAAATCATCCAATCTGCCCAGCTTTATCTGAGATCCAATCCCAAAAATACAACTGTCCACTAAATAATTTACACAATATATCTCAAAGTCACATGGGATTTCACCTACAAGAAGTCAACAAAAACTACAGTCTCAGTCTCTTGGCTTAAAATTACTTCCTGTTGAATATAAAAGGAATCATTCAGCTGTTTGTAGGCCCGACACGTTCAGCGGGAGAGGTCAACCGAAAGCAAAACCCAGACGCGGGCCCACTTCTTCTCTCAGGAGATCGCCTCGCCAGCCCAGGGTACGCCTTGGGGTAGAGACAGGGATGGGGTAGCGGTGAGGTGGCAAACCGCACACCGCGGAGGAAGCCGGCAGGCCCAGCCGGTCCGCGCACCTCCCCGCGCCCCGGGGCCCTGGAGCACAATGCCTTGCCGAGCAGCGCCCAGGAACCGCCGGCCCTGTGCGCGGGAGATCGCGGAGATTGGGCATGAGTCAGGGCGCGATCGGGTTTCTCTCTGTCAGGCAGAGCGCTGGCGAGATTTCGAGATTCCTGATACAGGCGAGGTCCGAGGCAGCCGGGGAGCCGGCGGGCTTCCACGCGGGGGCCCCAGTGCGCTCCGACACGCGCCCAGGCCCCGCGGTGCCGCACCCAGGACTCCCGGCGGCCTGGCCCGCGCACGGGGCAGATAACGAGTAACCGGAGCGCCGGCACGCGCCGGCAGGCCGCCTCGGAGTGCCCGGGCCCTGTCCCCTGGCTGGGGGCCCACTGGGCCAGGGCGGCCAGGTCCCCTGCCATCGCCGCTGCACTCGCGACCCCTCCTGTCCCTCCGCGAGAAACCCGAGGATCCGCGGACGATACCCCACCTCAGCAGGCGAGCGAGGTGGTTCACGGTACCTACCCGGTCATCCTCAAAAATGATTTTGGCTGGTATTTCCTTGCGGATGATCTTCCCGAAGATCGTGTCGCCACCAGGCCGAGCGACCTGAGCCTTGGCAATCTCATCTGCCATCTCGGCCTCTCTCCCGCGCGGCGGCCAGGGTAGAGGCTCGAAAGGAGGGAGGAACCCGCACAGCGTGCGGCGCGAGAGGGCGCAGCCAAGCCTGCGCCGGTGCCGGCGCCCCAGTGAATCCTGCGCGTGCGCACTGGCGACCGGGGCTGCGAGAGCGGCCAGCGTGCCAGAGCTCCGCAGGAACTGCAGCAGGGACGGGCAGGGGGAAGTTCCTGGTCTTGAGCTCCAGGGAGATTGCTAAGTCGTTTTTCTAGGCTCCTTTCTTGTCTCCTGGGGAATGGAGTTACTGGTATAAACCCTTCGTCTGCCCATGGACGCTTGTAGGGAAAGTTGGATACTGTAACTGACAAGATTTGACAGTTCAAGTGGTGCTGGCTGCAATTTAGCACTTAGATTATTTAAGGTCTTGCTGCTGCAGCAGATTTTAAGTCCTCTCTTCAGATTTTTTTCTCTCTCTACCAGTGGTTCTAAATCTTGACTACATTAAGATCACTTGGGGAGCTTTTGAAAATCCCCGTGAACCTGGCTGCACCCCAGATCCATTAAGTAAGAATCTTTGGAGATGAGCTCCAGGCATCAGTAGTTTGTAAACCTCCCTAGACTGCTCTTCAAGGAATTTTTCCCAGCAGCAATCAACATAATGTATTAATAAAATGACCCACCTTAAAAAAACAAAACCTTCCTTAATTACCACATCCCCCTCATATCTTTGCTCGTTTTAAAAAGTTTTCTACATACCGTGTCTGCTTTCTTATCTTTCATTTTTGTGTCCATTTCCCTCTTGTCAAGGTCACTAAGGACATCCATTTATAAAATACTATAGACAACTCCAGTTATCATACTAGAACTCTAAGTGTACGTATTAAGAAAAAGTATACCTCCTCAGTACCTTTTTTTTTTTTTTTAGATAGATTCTTGCTGTGTCGCCCAGGCTCGACTGCAGTGGCACAATCTCGTTTCATTGCAACTGCTGCCTCCCGGGTTCAAGTGATTCTCATGCCTCAGCCTCCCAAGTCGCTGGGACTACAGGCACGCACCACCACACCCGGCTAATTTTTGTATTTTTAGTAGAGATAGGGTTTCCCCATGCTGGCCAGGCTGTTCTCAAACTTCTGACCTCAGGTGATCCACCCGCCTCAGCCTCCCAAAGTGCTGGGATTACAGGTGTGAGCTCAACTGCCTTTTATGATTACACGACTACTCTGTCTTGGCAAAATTATTGAATGTGGTTCCCTTTAATCTCAAATGTGTTCATTTGGTACTTTTGCTATCAAAGACATTACTGGGACAATTGGTAAAATCTAAATAATGCCTATAAGTTAGATAATAGTTTTGAAGTGATGTTAATTTCCTTTCATAACCACAGAAAAATTGTCAAAATCAGTTGGTCTGGGGTGGGGCCCTACAAGTTAGGTTTCTAACTTTCCAGGTGATAACAGTTGCTGCTAGCCTGGGAACCATATTTTAAGAACTACTGATACAAGGGAATGTCTTTGTAGGAAAACCCCACTGAAGTATGTAAGGCTATGGGTGTCATGTCTGCAACTTACTTTCAAATAGTTCAGAGAAAAACTGTCTGTCTATAGGTAAGTAGAGAAATAGAAAAGGATAAAGCAGTTACAATAAAATGTTAACATTTGGAGAATCTGATTGAAAGGCATATGCAAATTCTATGTATTATTCTTGCAACTTGTGTCTGAAATTGTCAAAATAAAAAGTTAAAATGTGTGCTGGTTTGGATAATAAAAATATGGTCAGCTTTCATTCCATCTGAAGGCTTTACCATCTGTAGAGTACTGACTCTGAAGTATTTGTCTCTTGACCTACCCCTTCCCTTAATTCCAGACTGGTCTGTGACATACATTACAGCTTATTGACCACCTCCACTTAGATGGCTACCAGGCACTGCGATTTTATTTTGACTGCCTCCACAACAAACAAACCAAAACCTCCTTTTGCAGGATTCTATATCTGCAATTGGGTGAGCAATTCATCCAATTACTCCAGCCAAAAGCGTTGAAATCATCCTTAAATCTTCTCTCTGTACTTTCAACACACATCACTTAGAATCTAATCACTTATCTCCTCTGCTTCCACTACTCTAATCCAAGCTGCTAACATCTCTTTCCTGGAGTACTTTGAAAGGCTCCTAGTTGGATAACCTCTATGCTTCCATCGTAGTTAATTTGCCACACAGCACCCAAAATGATCTTTATAAAATATAAATCATAGTGGCACTCTCCTGCTGGTAATATGCTAGTGTATACCATCACAGAATAAAATCCAACATCCTTACCTTGGCTTATAGGGCTCTGTGTGATCAGGCCCATTGCTGCTGCTTCTACCTCATTTCTTTCCATTTCAACCTTATTGACTGGCATCACACAAACTCAGTGTGCTAGGCAGAAGATGCCCATGTCCTAATCCCTGGAGCCTGTGAATGTTACTTTACATGGTAAGTGGGATTTTGTAGATGTGATTAAGTTAAGGATCTTGGAATAGGGAGGTTCCTGCATTATCTAGGTGAACCCAAAGTAATCACAATGGCCCTTGTAAGTGAAAGAGAGACACAGAAGAGTGAGAGTAAGAAAAGATGTGACCACAGAGGCACAGGTGAGAATCTGAGATTTGAAAATGCTCGGCCAGGTGTGGTGGCTCACAACTGTAATCCCGGCACTTGGGGAGGCTGAGGTGGGTGATCATGAGGTAAGGCGTTTGAGACCAGCCTGGCCAACATGGTGAAACCCTGTCTCTACTAAAAGTACCAAAAATGGCTGGGCGTGGTGGCAGCTGCCTGTAATCCCAGCTACTAGGGAGGCTGAGACAGGAGAATCGTTTGAACCCGGGAGGTGGAGGTTGCAGTCACCCGAGATAGCGCCATTGCAGCCTGGTCAACAGGGCAAGACTTCTTCAAAAAAAAAAAAAAAAAAAAAACCACAAAAACAAAAACAAAAAAGCTCCATTATTGGCTTTGAAAATGGAAAGAGTTGGGCCAGGCATGATGGCTCACGCCTGTAATCCCCGCACTTTGGGAGGCCAAGGCGGGCGGATCACGAGGTCAGGAGATTGAGACCATCCTGGCTAACACGGTGAAACCCCACCTTTACTAAAAACACAAAAATTTCGCCGGGCGTGGTGGCGTGCGCCTATGTTCCCAGGTACTCGGGGAGGCTGAGGCAGGAAAATGGCGTGAATCCGGGAGGCGGATCTTGCAGTGAGCCGAGATCGCACCACTGCACTCCAGCCTGGGCAACAGTAGGAGACTCCTTCTCAAAAAGAACAAAAAAAAAAAAAAAAAAAAAAAAAAAAAAAAAAAAAAAAAAAAAAAACAAGAAAAAAGGAAAAAGAAAAGAAAAGAAAAAGAAAATGGAAGGAGCCAAAAAACAGGTAGCATTTTGTAAGTCAGAAGTTCAAACTGAGTTTCACTGAGCTAAAATCAAGTGTTGGCAAGTGTGCATTCCTTCTGGATGCTCTAGAGAAGAAATCATTCCCTCACCTTTTCCAATTTCTAGAGGAGGCTTGCTTGGTTTGCGGCCCCTTCCTCCATCTTCCAAGCCAGCAGCAGAACATCTTCAAACTTCTCCCTAACTCTGCTTCCTTCTTTCACTTCTAAGGATCCTTGTGATTACACTGAGTCCACCAGACAATCCAGGATAATCTTCCCATCTCAAAATACTTAATTTAATGACATCTTCAACGCCTCTTGTCGGCCAGGCGCGGTGGCTCAAGCCTGTAATCCCAGCACTTTGAGAGGCCGAGACGGGCGGATCACGAGGTCAGGAGATCGAGACCATCCTGGTTAACATGGTGAAACCCCGTCTCTACTAAAAAAACACAAAAAACTAGCCAGGCGATGTGGCGGGAGCCTGTAGTCCCAGCTACTCAGGAGGCTGAGGCAGGAGAATGACGTAAACCCGGGAGGTGGAGCTTGCAGTGAGCTGAGTCCGGCCACTGCACTCCAGCCTGGGCGACAGAGCGAGACTCCGTCTCAAAAAAACAAAAACAAAAACAAAAAACAAAACAAAACAAAACAAAACAAAGCCTCTTGTCATATATAACATAGAGATTCCTGGAATCTGAACACAGACATCTTCTGGAGGCCATTATTCTGCCTACTACATAGCTCTGTGAACTTACATGATGAACATGCTGGAATTTCCTGTTCAGTTATGCAACTTATACTTTGAGATGCAAACTTTAAAAAGAAAATGAAATTTCAGAACCAAATTTATTAAGCCAAAAGGGCAAAGTTAAGCCCTGAAAACTGAGTCATGTAATACGGCTGTTTTTCTTCTCTGGTGCATGACTATTGTTGCTTCCCGACCTTTGTGTTGAGATGTTATACATTAATCAGACTCCCTATTCTTCATTTCAAACCTAGACTACATAATATTGGAGCTGTAGACCCTTGCGATTGTTACTTTTTTTTACCACAGAATATTAAGCAACCACCTTAGAGTGTAATCAATAGTAGCCAATCAGATCTTAAATCTAGATGTTATCCATTGTTTGAAATGTTGTAATTCTGTTCGGTATCTCCATTTTGTCTTATATAAACGATCTTCACTTTTCTTTACACTGAAAGCACTCATCACCATTCTTTGGTGTCTACATATTCCCATATGACTGCCCTCACACTTTACAGTTGAATAAACCCTTTTAACTGGATCCTTGATTATTTTAGGGTGACAAGACAAACCAGGCCAAGTTCCCAGAACAACTAGAATAGTGAAGAGCCCACCTCATATGTGGAACAGTTAAAGGAGTCACACAGATTGATTTAAGAAAAGAGGAGCCACAGAACTGAACTGATTCTGTCATTATAGAACTGTTTTAAAATATCAGCAGATGAGGGACTTTGGTTAACTGAATGCAGGACACTAGCTAGCAAGAAATCATCACAATAAGTTATGAATTTTCAGGAAGCTGCACTATGAGTCTACACTGAAAATGGGGGAGAGGGGATGGGGCACCTTTTAAATCACTGTCAGCATTCAGAAAGCACAATGCAAGGTACAAGATCATCTAGTTTATTGTTTCCTAGATAAAAGACAATATCCAGTATACTTGGCTTAATTGCTTCATTATGTTAAATGTTCTGCAAATCGAATGCACCTTAATTTAAAAAAATCAATTATCGTGTTATTCTCAGAATGACTTGCAATAATTCCTTAAAATAACATAGATCACAGAGAAGGAAAAGGGCTTTGGAAATCCATTGGTCCAGATCTTTCATTTTTAATAAGATCTTTCATTTTTAATAAGAAGTCAATTTTACCTAAAAGTTAACCTGAAAGGCTATAAGGGTAGGGAAGGAGAACAATTATGCAAGAGAAACAACAGGAAAAGGTTGTGGCGTGTTAGTAATGTGACTATATATAGAGTTTTTTTCTTATTTTATTTTATTTTATTTATTTATTTATTTTGAGACGGAATCTCACTCTATCGCCCAGGCTGAAGTGCAGTGGCCGGATCTCAGCTCACTGCAAGCTCCGCCTCCTGGGTTCACGCCATTCTCCTGCCTCAGCCTCCCGAGTAGCTGGGACTACAGGCGCCCGCCACCTCGCCCGGCTAGTTTTTTGTATTTTTTAGTAGAGAGGGGGTTTCACCGTGTTAGCCAGGATGGTCTCGATCTCCTGACCTCGTGATCCACCCGTCTCGGCCTCCCAAAGTGCTGGGATTACAGGCTTAAGCCACCACGCCCGGCCGAGTTTTTTCTTGATGCTTGCAAGGTCATAGGTTAAAACGCACTTAAATAAATACCTTATGATTGTTTCTGATTATGATGCTGCTGATTACCCATTTCTGACCTCTTTATCAGCAAAACCAAGGAATAGAGAGAGTTGAATAGGCAAAATATAAAGGGTAAGACTAGGCTTTACGGTCAAGCATAGCGGATTTGCATCCCAGATCTCCATTTACTAGCTGTGCGAACTTCAGCGAGTACTTTAACCTAACCTTCTGAGGAAATAAATGAGAGAATACACGCATAAAATTTTTAGGAGTCAGTTGTTAGTTCTTGGCTTTTATTTCTGCACATTTCCAAAGAGATAGTCGCAACTGGGAAACGTTAAAATAAAGTTATTTTACAGACGATCCTATACCGTAAACAGGAGGTAACAAAACGCGGGTACCGATGCCATCCACTAAATACAAACCCAGTCAGCCTAGCAGAGGATCCCTGCGCCGGAAGTAACTGTGCCCCTAACTAAAATGGCGTCCAGGTGATTTCCGTTCTCTTCTGGCCAGTAATTGGACTCTGGGACTCCTCGCGATTTTACCAGTTCCCAAGCGTTTAGCAAATAGCTTTGGGAAACGCCCGTTTAGCAAACGCCTTCTCCGTCCTTTGTAGGAGGGCGGGGCTAAGAGGGAGATGCTGTCTGGTGATTGGTTGTGGCGCGTTAGTAACGGGGCTACAGGGAGTTCAGTCTTTGATTGGTTGCTGAGAGGCGGGGCTAGTCTACTGCTCCGGAGGTAGCAGCGGCGGGGAGGAGAGCCATGGCACAGGCAGCCAAGGTGACAGGGCCCGGGAAGGGGTGGGTACGGTGCCGTCGGGGAGGGTGTGTTCGCGGCCTTGAGAAAACTCTTTGGAGTCTCTGGAGGCTGGGGCTCCGGACCCTTTTCGGAGGATGTGGCTGTTACCCCAGAGAAGCCAGATGACCAACTCCGAGGGTTTGTGCAGGTGCGGAGGAGAGCGGGAGGCACCAGTGTGGTTCCTACTTCTTGGTACTAACTTGTTACGCAGTGTTTATCCATGATACAAATCCGCGACTTGAGTTCTGCCCTCTTTTCATCTTCAGACCGAGTGTTTGTCTGAGGGACCCATTTCACATCCCTGGGAAGTATAGGAGACGCCAGAGGCTGACCTGAGCAACAGCAGTTCAATGAGGTGAAAAGTTTATTCGGATAAACAGAAGGTGCACAGAAGTCTAGCAGCCAAGGAAACCGAACCCCAACAAAATTACTTGTCAAAAATAACATAGCAAGACAGAGCAGGGCCTGGTGAGACCTGAGCTCACTGAATGAGCTTGGGATGTGGTGGCTGTGCTCCGATCATCTCTCTGAGTACTACCTGGTCTCAGATTCATTTCTCACACCGAAGCATGATGCACGTTCCTTCCCAGCGCACAATTCTCATTGGCAGCCATCCTTTAACGTTTAACATCAGCATGGCCAATTGAGATCTGTAGTTGTCACTGCTTGAAACATAAACATGGGGAAATGGCCTGTTATAATATGGTGAAGTTAAGCAGTTTAGGGAACCACCAAGCAGCCCTCGTGTACTTTTGTACATAATGTCACAGGACCAATAGAAACAGAATTGCTCAGGGTTATTCACTCAAAAATTTCTTTGAATATCCATAATAGCTATTATTACAGCCAACAACCAGCAGGCTATATTATCTAAGCATAGTGGATGCAGCAATAAGCTGAACATCCTTGCCTTCATAAAGAAATCTAGCAGATGGGGAGACCTTAAACAGTTATTTAATTACAGTTGTAATAAATGCTGTGATTTGAAACTACAGTGTTTTGTGAGCATATAACCAGGATTTCACATAAGATCTCTCGGCCGGGCGCGGTGGCTCAAGCCTGTAATCCCAGCACTTTGGGAGGCCGAGACGGGCGGATCACGAGGTCAGGAGATCGAGACCATCCTGGCTAACACGGTGAAACCCCGTCTCTACTAAAAAGTACAAAAAACTAGCCGGGCGAGGTGGCGGGCGCCTGTAGTCCCAGCTACTCGGGAGGCTGAGGCAGGAGAATGGCGTAAACCCGGGAGGAGGAGCTTGCGGTGAGCAGAGATCCGGCCACTGCACTCCAGCCTGAGTGACAGAGCCAGACTCCGTCTCAAAAAAAACCAGACTCCGTCTCAAAAAAAAAAAAAAAAAAAAGATAAGGTGGCTCACACCTCCATCCCAGCACTTTGGAAGGCTGAGGGCCGAGGATCACATGAGTCAAGAATTTGAGACCAGCCTCGGCAACATGTTGAAACCCCATCTCTACCAAAGATACAAAAATTAGCTGGGCATAGTGGCGGGTGCCTGTAATCCCGCTACTCGGGAGGCTGAGGCACAAGAATTTCTTGAACCTGGGAGGTAGAGGTTGCAGTGAGCCGAGACTGCACCACTACACTCTAGCCTGGGTGACAGAGCAAGACTTCACCTCAAAAAATAAGTAAATAATCTCTCAAGGAAGTTCAGACCTGATGTTTGATTAGAAATTAGCTAGAGTAGAGAAAAAAGCATTCCAGAAAGGGCAACTAGCACATGAAAAGTCCTTGAAGTGGGGATTTGGTTGGAAAATTGGATACAAATGAAATTAAGTAGGATTCATTCCAAAAACACTTTTGGTAGAGCCTACAATGTATAGAAGGCACTTATGCTACATGTGGGAAGATACAAAGGTGACCAATCCAACAAGGGTGACAACAAGACCCTATGTCCAAAAAAAAAAAAAAAAAAGAGGAAAGTGAAACCTAGCACAGAAATTATAACCCTTAAAATTAATCCATTATTCAAGAAATTTGAGACGAAAAGGCTGTTACTTGTCCAAGCTTACATTAAGTGACAATCTCAGATTCAAACTGATCTGACTATAAAGAATCCACTTTTCATCTACACTGCCTAAATCTGTCCAATCAGTATAGGTAAATAAGGAAGAGAATACAGTCTGTGACCTGGCTTTCTGCATTTTAATAAAAGTTTATCTGCTGCAAGGTAATGTTAACTCCAATAGTGCTATGGCAATAATGATAACATTTTCTTACACTAGTCCTCTTAAATTAGGGATGCTAATTTGTTGTACTAATGGTGTACTTTAAATAGCATATAAAACCATTAGGTTTACTTACTTCTCATTTTTTAAATCCCATGCAACATATCTTCTCTGCTCTTGCAATATTACAGTCCGTGGGATTCTATGATGCTTGCAAAGTCCGTATTTTTACCAACAATCTCTTCAAGGCAATCCAGGCTTTTACTATCAAGCACTCAGAATTATTCCAGCCTCTACACATTACTCAATCCAAAGCCACTTCCACATTTTTAGATACAGGCATACCCAGGTGATGCTGCGGATTTGGTTCAAGGCCACAGCAACAAAGTGTATATTGAAGTAAAGCGAATAACCCATGTTTTTTGGTCCCAGTGCATATAAAAGTTATATTTATACTATAATGTAGTCTATTAAGTGTGCAGTAGCATTATGTCTTTAGAAAGTACATACGTTGGCTGGGAAAGGTGGCTCATGCCTGTATCCCAGCCCTTTGGGAGGCCCAGGCGGGTGGATCACGAGGTCAGGAGTTTGAGACCAATCTGGCCAACACAGTGAAACCCTGTCTCTACTAAAAATACAAAAATTAGCTAGGCGAGGTGGTGGGCGCCTATAGTCCCAGCTGCTCGAGAGACTGAGGCAGGAGAATGGCGTAAACCCAGGAGGCAGAGCTTGCAGTGAGCCAAGATCCAGCCACTGCACTCCAGCCTGGGCGACAGAGCGAGACTCCGTCTCAAAAAATAAAAAAATAAGGAAGTACATACCTTAAATAAAAAATACTTTTTTTGCTACAAAATGCTAACAATTATTTGAGCTTTCAGAAAGTAATCTTTTTGCTGATGAAAGATCTTGTGTCGATGTTGATGACTACTAATTGATCAGATTGGTGGTTGCTGAAAGTTAAGATGACTGTGACAGTTTCTTAAAATAAGACTACAGTAAAACTGACCACATTGATTGACTCTCTCACACAGAAAAGATCTATCTGTAGCATGCAATGCTGTTTGATAGCATTTTACCCACAATAGTGCGTCTTTCAAAATTGGATTCAATCCTCTCAATCCCGGCCACTACTTTATCAACTGAGTTTATATAATATTCTAAATCCTTTGTTGTTATTTCAACAATGTTTACAGCATCTTCACCAGGAGTGAAGTGATGTGAGTGATGATCTTCATAAACTCAAGAATCCACTTTCTTTGCTCATCCATAAGAAGCAGCTCCTCATGCATTTAAGTTTTATCGAGATTGCAGCAATTCAGTCACATCTTAAGGCTCCACTCCTTATCCTAGTTTCATTTGCACTTTCCACATATCTGCAGTTAATTCCTCCACTGAAGTCTTGAACCCCTCAAAGTCATCCATGAGTGTTCAGATAAGTTTCTTCCAAATGCCTGTTATTGTTGCTATTTTGACCTCCTCTCTTGAATTCTCTGAATGGCATCTAGAATGGTGAATCCTTCCCAGGAGGTTTTCAATTTACTTTGCCTAAATTCATCAGAGGAATCACTATCTATGGCAGCTATAGCCTTATGAGTCTTTTAAATAAGACTTAGAAGTCTGGCTCACGCCTCTAATCCCAGCACTATCGGAGGCTGAGGTGGGCAGATTGCTTGAGTTCAGGACAAGCCTGGGCAACATGGCAAACCCGTCTCTACAAAAAGTAAAAAAATTAGCTCAACATGGTGGCATGCGCCTGTGTGCCCAGCAACTTTGGAGGCTGAGGTGGGAGGATCGCTTGAGCCCAGGAGATCGAGGCTTCAGAAAGCCATGATTGTACCACTGCACTCCAGCCTGGGTGACAGAACAAGGCCCTGTCTCAAAAAAAAGGACTTGAAAGCCAAAATTACTACTTGACCTTGACGTGTGGGGCTGCAAAATGGATGTTGTATTGGCAGTCATGAAAACAATATTAATTTCCATTTACATCTCCATCAGAGCTCTTGGGTGATGACGTGTGTTGTCAGTGAGCAGTAATATTTTGAAAAGAATCTCTTTTTTTTTTTTTTTTTTTTTCTGAGCAGATCTCAACAGTGGGCTTAAAATATCAGTGAACCATGCTTTAAACAGATGTGCTTTGTTGATTTGTAGAGCACAGGTAGAATAGATTTAACATAATTCTTAAGGGTCCTAGGATTTCTGGAATGACAAATTATCATTGACTTCAACTCAAAGTCACCAGCTGCATTAACTCTTTTTTGTGTGTGTGTGACGGAGTTTTGCTATTGTTGCCCAGGCTGGAGTGCAGTAGCGCAATCTCAGCTCACCGCAACCTCCGCCTACCGGGTTCAAGCAATTCTCCTGCCTCAGCCTCCCGAGTAGCTGGAACTGCAGGCATACGCCACCATGCCTGGCTAATTTTGTATTTTTAGAAGAGATGGGGTGTCTCCATGTTGGTCAGGCTGGTCTCAAACTCCCGACCTCAGGTGATCTGCCTGCCTCGACCTCCCAAAGTGCTGGGATTATAGGCGTGAACCACTGCGCCCGGCCTTTTTTGGGTGTTTCTTTGTTTGTTTGTTTGTTTTGTTTTGTTTCAGACAGGGTCTCACTCTGTCACCCAGCCTGGAGTGCAGTGGCATCATCTTGGCTCGCCACAACCTCTGCCTCCCAAGCTCAAGAGATCCTCCCACCTCAGCCTCCCCAGTAGCTAGAACTACAAGCACCCTCCACAACACCTGACTAACTTTATTTTTTGTAGAGACAGGGTTTGGCCATGTTGCCCAGGCTGTTTTTGTTTGTTTTTTTTTGTTTTTTTTGTTTTTTCTTTTGAGACAATCTCGCTCTGTTACCCAGACTGGAGTGCAGTGGCATGATCTCGGCTCACTGCAACCTCCACCTCCCAGGTTCAAGCAAGTCTCCTGCCTCAACCTCCCAAGTAGCTGGGATTACAGGTACCCACCACCATGCCCAGCTAATTTTTTTATATTTTTTAGTAGAGACAGGGTTTCACCATGTTGGCCAGGCTGGTCTTGAACTCCTGAGCTCAAGCGATCCACCCCCATCAACTTCCCAAAGGGCTGAGATTACAGGGGTGAGCCACTGTATCCAGCCTGCATTAGCTTATTAAGAGCTAATTAAGCTCTTATTAATAAGGATATTTCACATTTTACTTCCCCGTTCATGAGTTAATAGACATTTAGGTTATTTCTGTTTTTTCACTATTATGAATACTACTACCATGAACATTAGCATACATGTTTTTGTGTGAACATATGTTTTCATTTGTCTTGAGTATATACCTAGTAGTAGAATTTCTGAGTCATGACTGTAGGTTTAACTTTTTTTAGCATCTGCCAAGCTGTTTCCCAAAGCAGCTGTACCATTTTAAATGCCAAACAGCAAAGTATAAGAGTTCCTATTTTTCCATGTCCTTGTCAACTATTTTTATTGACTGTCTTTTTTATGGTAGCCATTCTACTGGGATGAAATGGTATCTCATTAAGGTTTAGATTTTTATTTCCGGATGGCACATGACATTGAACATTTTTCCATGGCTTATTGGCCATTTATGGTTTTTTTCGGGGGGAGGAAATATCTATTCAAATCCTTTGACTGTTTTTATTTTTCTTAATTTTATTTTAGATTCAGAGAGTACATATGCAGGTTTATTACGTGGGTAAATTACATAATGGTGAGGTTTGGGCTTCTAGTGAACCCATCACCCAAATAATGAGTATTGTACCCAGTAGGTAATTTTTCCACCCTCAACCCCTTCCTATCCTCCTCCCTTTTGGAATCTCCACTGTCTATTATTTCCATCGTTCTATCCATGTGTACCCATTGTTTAGCACCTACTTATAAGTGAGAGTATGCAGTATTTGATTTTCTGTTTCTGAGTTATTTCATTTAGGATAATGGTCTCCAGCAGCTGCTGCAAAGAACATGATTTCATTCTTTTTTAATATTCCATGGTGTATATATACCACATTTTCTCATTTGTGTCCTATAAAGCAAACAGCTGCCCTCAAAGTTCTATTAGCACCTAGTACTTTAACATCTTTGATGTTATTATTACTATAAAAATTACCCACAGCTGAGCCCTTTAAGTACCTTATATGATCACATTTTTTCCCAATTCTTCATCTTTAAATTAATAACTGCCTTTTTCAAATGATTACTTTTAAAAAATCCTTTAATAGATATCCTAGATATCTATTCCCAAATTCTAGTCAAAACCAGTCTACCAGTTTCATTTTTCCTAGCAATACCTTTTCTGGAGCAATTCAGTCTTTTGCTATAGTCCTGCCTAGTTGCTTTCTAGTCTGGCTGCACAAATGTTGACTAGCATTTGTCCTTCCCCATGGTCTTTTCTTCTCCCATGTTAGACCACCTGTCTCCCGGGTTCCCATGTCTTTTCCTTTTGTGGTTCATTTCTTTATTTTGGTGGAGCATATTCTTCTGTAGCCTTCCAATAAAGTGTGTATGACAATAAGAGACTTTGCATTTCTGAAAATATGTATTTGCCCTTGTCTTTGAGTGATAGTGTATCTATGGTGTTCTAAAGCAGACATTTTTTCAAAACTTGAATATGTTATTCCATTGTCTTCTTACAGTAGTGCTATTTAGAAATCAGGTACCACTCTGATTTTTTCCATCCTTTACATGTGAACTGTTTTTTCTCTGATATTTTTCTCATCAGCATCACACTGAACTTACATCATGCTGTGCTGTGTTATGAGTTTTATGTTGAGCACTTGATGGAACCCTTTCTATCTTGTAATTAATGTGCCTTACTTGGTGAAATTTTTTTCTTCCCTTTTACCCAAATATTAAGTGAAAATTTTAAAATTTCTTCCCTTGCTTTTCTCTCTTCTCTCTTGTTGGCCCTTCTGCCAATCTAGCTGTTGGGCCTTCTCCCTTAATTTTCTTATCTTCCCTCTCCTCAATTTCTGTTTCTGAACTTTTATTCTACATCTGGGCAGTTTTTCACAACTTAACCCTTACTTTCACCTGTGTGATATCCAAGAGTTTTTGGGAGTTTTTGGAATGTTCCTTTTTAAATTTACTGTAGTTTTTCATTGATGTTATTCCATCTCTGCAATAACATGTTTCTGAGGAAGTCTTTTATGACTGCTTCGTTTTTGTTTTATTTTTAAGTTTTTTTGCTCTGTTTCTTATTTCTGTTTTCATGTCTGCCTTTGATGTAATAGGTTTTCTAATATATGTAAAACACTTAAAATTGTGTCTAGCACACAGTATGCTTAGTAAATGTCAGATGTTATTTGTAGAACAGACTGGAGGACAGGAGGGTGTGGTGGCAAAGTGACAAACCTTTATAAGTAGTCTAAGAGATGGGGAGTGCCTGAACCTAAGTGGTTTTGTTGATAGAGGATATAAGAAAGATTACAGAGGCATTCCTGAAGTTTCCACAACAAGAGTAAGGTAGAATAAAAGGTTGGCCTACAGATTTCTGGCTTCAGAAACTTGGTGGCCTCCAATAAGTAAAATAGAGAAGAGTAGAGGAAGAGAAATACTGAGAGAACAATATTGAGTACCTTTTTGGACTTGAGAGTGTGAAGTGACCTCAGCCTATCACTAAAGCCTCTTCACAATCTGTCTTTTACCAAAATGCCAGGCTCTTTTCTTTTTTTTTTTTTTCAATATAGACTCAGAATATTTGTAAGTCTCAACATTTCACTTGTCTTTTATGAAATAGCAAATAGAAGGGCCAGGCGCAGTGGCTCACGGCTGTAATCCCAGCACTTTGGGAGGCCGAGGCGGGCAGACCACGAGGTCAGGAGTTCGAAACCAGCCCAGCCAACATGTGAAACCCCATGTCTACTAAAGATACAAAAAGTTAGCTGGGTATGGTGGCACGCGCCTGTAATCTCAGCTACTTGGGAGGCTGAGGCAGGAGAATCGCTTGAACCCGGAAGGCGGAGGTTGCAGTGAGCCAAGATCGTGCCATTGGCCTCTAGCCTTGGTGACAAGGTGAGACTCCATCTCAAAAAAAAAAAAGATAAAGAATAGCAATTAAATTTGTCTAAATTATCTAAAACATCTTCTGTGGCCTCTTTTAAGATGCAATAAATTCTTTCTTTTGTATATGTGTGTGTATGATATTAAGAGCAGATTAAAACTTCAAGAGGTTAAGAAAAATGAGAACAGATACATACCAGACTGGTAAAGTAGCAGACTGGTTTTTAGCATGAGGATTACTAACTTTTTAACCGTCCTTATATTGTTTTATTTATTTCAAAGAACTTTGTATTATTTTTGTAAATAAGGCTAAAAATGTTTTTAATGTAGAGATAAATAATCAAAGGAAAGTTATTTTGGCAAGTCCTGGTTTTCACCAACTATTTTTGAAAATAATCTTTGAAACAAACAGAAAAGGAATACTGTTTAATCCTTGTAATATAATTTGTGTAAAATGTGAAGTGTTTTCCTTTTGAGGTCTGAATTCTGATTTTCTTTTGCTTTTTCTTCTCTTTTTTTTTTTTTTCTGAGACAGGGTCTTGCTCTGTCACCCCGACTGGAGTGTAGTAGTGCAGTCAGAGCTCATTGTAGCTTCAACTTCCTGCACTCAAGCAATCCTCCCACCTCAGGCGCCCAAGTAACTAGGACCACACACCACCATGGCCTGATTAATTTTTAAAAAATATTTTGGCCGGGTGTGGTGTCTCACGCCTATAATTCTAGCACTTTGGAGGCCGAGGCGGGTGGATCACTTGAGGTCAGGAGTTGGAGACCAGCCTGGACAACATGGTGAAACCTTGTCTCTACTAAAAATACAAAAATTAGCCGGGCTTGGTGGCAGGTGCCTGTAATCCCAGCTACTCGGGAGGCTGAGGCAGGAGAATTGCTTGAAACCAGGAGGCCGTGGTTGCAGTGAACCAAAATCATGCAAGATCATGCCACTGCACTCCAGCCTGGGCAACAGAGTGAGACTTCATGTCAAAAAATTTTTTTTTTTTTTTTGTGAGGATGGGGGTCTCCCTATATCACCCAGGGTCTCGAACTTCTGGGCTCAAGCAGTCCTGCTACCTCAACTTCCCGAAGTACTGGGTTTACAGGCGTGAGCCACTGTGCCCAGCCTTGAATTCTGATTTTCTTAACAGGTTTTACAGCTCTTTAAAACACTGCACAGAACCAGACAACAAGTTTTTAAGAATGATGTCAGAGCATTAGAAGGTAAGTATGTTCTTTACCCTTTTGGAGCCAGTCTACTTTTTAGATGACTACTAATCTACCTGAGAAACCCTGTGTGGTCAAGACCCATCTTAGGGAATGACCTTCACTGCCTCTCCCTAATGTCTTTTTAAAAGATTAGCTTATATTACACTTATTTGAGAAATATCTACTTAAAGAAAAATTTTTAAAGATCAAGTCTTCATAAAGAGTGGATCAGAAAAAAAGGCAAGGGACCAGAATTTCAGTGTTTATCATTGCTTGCCTTATATTCACGCCATTGAACTTTCTGTTACATAATCAAATTTTCACAATCTCTAGGGCCAGATATTACCACGTTGTTAATGTCTCATGTCAGTTTAAAAGAGCAGCTGTGAAAGAGAATCCATTCTAAATGATTCCAAATTCAGTATCTCCCTGTTTTAAGTAGTGTCTATCTTATCTGGAAGTCACAGGCTCTGAAATTTAGGTTCTGTGTTATTCATGTTCAGTTCCACTCCTCATATATTTCTAAACCTCCTTAAGAGTGCACCTAGGTAAAGTGTCCCCACTGTTTCCAGGGATTTAAGTTTTTGTAACTCATCAAAAATAATTTCTGAATGAATAAGATATATGTATTGTATTATATGTAGTTTACATGAATTCCTGATTTAATTCTTGTAACATCTCTGTGAGATAATCGGTATTATAATTCCTATTTTTACAAATGAGAAAATTGATAAAATGTGAAAATATTTGTCCCACATCATACTTAGTAAGAAGTGACCTGGGATTTAGCCTAAGCGATCTGATTCAAAAGTCCAAACTCTAAACCACATTACGTATTGAAATATATGCAACATAGGCAGGCTCAGTGGCTCACACCTGTAATCCCAGCACTTTGGGAGGCCGAGGCAGGCGGATTACTTGAGGATTAATTGAGGTCAGGAGTTAGAGACCAGCATGGCCAACATGGTGAAACCCTGCCTCTACTAAAAATACAAAAATTAGCCAGGCATGGTGGCACACACTTGTAATCCCTTGAGGCAGGAGAATTGCTTGAACCCAGAGGCAGAGGTTGCAGTGAGCCGAGATCACGCCACTGCACTCTAGCCTGGGCGACAAAGCAAGACTCCGTCTAAAAAAAAAAAAAAAATATATATATATATATATAAAAAAAACATGTATATGTATATATATGTATGTAAATATACACACACACAACATAGAAGGAAGTTTTTATAGTAATTATCAACATGGAATATTTTTGTTGCTTTAAATTTTTTAAGTGGAATAGTTATAAGAACAGCTAACAATTTGTTGCATATTTGCTAAGCACTTTGTATGGATTGTTCCATTAAATGCCCACAGCAGCACAATAAGGCCAGTGAGATTCTATCGAAGTATGCTGCTATAATGATATCAAACTCTCAGTGGTATATGTAAACAAAAGTTTTATTTGTCACTCACTTTATATGTCAGCCAAGACACTTAAAATTTTACATATATGTACACATATATCCTGTTTGCTGCCAATCTTTGTGTACGTGTGTATGTAGTTTAACATACTTGTATATTGAATTTTACCATCTTAAAAAAGCATTTTAATAGAAATCCTTAGATTTGTAAAAATAAAACATTGAAGTAGATTTATTATAATTCAGTAGGTGTAGGTATACAAATGAATTTGAGAGTAAAAATCAGTGAAAGAAAAAATATTAGAGTGCCAAAGGTTTATAGTAGATTTACCTACAAACTTGTCACCCTGTCAAAAGCTCTCCGAGAGACTTCATTAATAATTTCTTGTTCTTATACTTTGTTTTTCATGAGGGCAATTTCTATACTAGAGAAGTAGGCATTCATATTAAATAACGTGTAAATTATTGAGATAGGAATTATAGATTACAAAAGCAAGTAACTATATGTGTTTTTCTCCTTGTAGCAGCCAGAATAAAGATAAATGAAGAATTCAAAAATAATAAAAGTGAAACTTCTCCTAAGAAAATAGAAGAGGTACAGTAATTTTTTCAATTACAGTAAAACTTATACAATTATCTTGTCAAAGAGGAAATGATGAAGATAGAGGGATTATGTAAAATAAAAACTATTACTTGATAGTTAAGGCCATCACAACTGTAGATAACCTTCACTTACTTGGTATGGCTCACCTCCTCAGGGTCGTCTGCCGACACCAAAATACAGCAAGGTACACCATGAACAGAACATGGAAATAGCCATGGTGAAAGCCAGAGCAGCTGAACAAACCCAGGAACCTACAGAAATTCTATCTTCACTTAAAGCAAGTGACTGAAACTAAAGAGAATGAGTGTTGTAGTAACCCAACTAGAGAAGTAAACTAATTTTTAAATATATATATTGATTAATTCATTTTAAAATAATAATTTCATTATATGTTAAAAAGTAACATGATATTTATGAAAAATAACTATTTAAAAAAATTTAGTGAGAAGAGTGGTACTGGTTTTTTTGTTTTTGTTTTTGTTTTTGTGGGGTTTTTTTGAGATAGAGTTTCGCTCTTGTTGCCCAGGCTGGAGTGCAGTGGCATGATCCCAGCTCACTGCAACCTCCACCTCCGGGTTCAAGCAATTCTCCTGCCTCAGCCTCCCGAGTAGCTGGGATTACAGACACATGCTACCACACCCAGCTAATTTTTATAGTTTTAGTAGAGACGGGTTTCACCATGCTGGCCAGGCTGGTCTTGAACTCCTGACAACAGGTGATCCACCTGCCTCAGCCTCCCCACGTTCTGAGATTACAGGCATGAGCCACTGTGCCCAGCCCCCTGCAATATGTTTTTTAGGTTGAAGTATATGAAGAAAATTCAGCCTCACACAGATTTATAATTGGAAAAGAGTAGAACAGCCTTTTAGATCATTGTGAATTTTTCCTTTTCTTTGTTTTTTTTGGGTAGAGATGAGGTCTCGCTTTGTTGCACAGGCTGGTTTCAAACTCCTGGCTTAAGCGATCCTCCTGCTGTGGCCTCCCAAAGTTCTGGGATTACAGGCATAAGCCACATAATTCTGAATATTTTTTAATACTACACCTTGACATGTGGTAATTTCTTTTTTTTTTTTTTTTTTTTTTTTGAGACGGAGTCTCACTCTGTCACCCAGTTAAAAGTTAGTTTCAGTGTGCAACTCTGTTATCTGTCAGACCAATGGAATTTTTTGGAGAGGGGGGTTCCAAGATTCATGCAGACCACCTCCTCCTCGTCTCCTCTGGGCCCCCCTAATCCCTTGTTCCTCAACTAGCCTTGTTTCCAGTCTTATATCTAGGACTTGGCTGAGGAGACCCATTATTTTCTCCTTCTCTGCCCTGTTAAGCCCCTTCCCAGGTGTCAGGAGGTGAGGCTTTGCTCTCCCACAGCCCTCTCCATGGCAGTTAATTCCAGCTCCCTCCTTTTGATGCTCAGACCAAAAACCTTGGTGCTTTCTTGACTGCTTTTCTTCTCTCACACTTACATCCAATCTGATAGCAAATCCTGTTGGCTTAAATCTCAAAATATTATTATATACAGAACTCAGCTACTTCTCATCCTCCCTGTCATTATCCCCGAGTCCAAGCCACCATCATCTCTCTTGTTACAACGGCCTCCTAATGGGCCTCCTGCTTTCAGCCTCACTCCCTACAGCCTATTCTCAGTACTTTTAAAGACAGAATAAACCTTAAAAAAAGAAAAAAAAAGGCATATCTCAACACTCTACTACTCACAACCCCATGACTCTTCATCTCATTCAAGAAAAATCTAAAGTGCCTAACATGACCTACAAGACTGTCTGTGATCTGACCTTTGTTACCTTGCCACCTCAGCTTGAATCACATCCCCCTCACTCTTCTGATCTTAGCCCCTTCTTTGAGGGTCCTTGAATTTACCAAAAAGTTTCCTCACTTAGGGTTTTTATGCTGTTGCCTCTTGGGATTTTCTCTCACATGCCCTCAAAGCTTCATTTAGGTAGACCAATGAACTTTAATTGATATTTCCCTGTGAATGGACTTTTTACCCATGTATGATTTTGTAACATCATGCAGTGATGATTTAGAAAATACAGGTTCATTAAATACTACAGATCTTCCAGATGTTTTCATAGTTCATTATATATTTTAAAATTACATCTATCAATACTAATATCCATCTCATCAGAAAAGTCTTTAAGGCTGGGCACGGTGGCTCACACCTATAATCCCAACACTTTTGGAGGCTGAAGTGGGAGGGTCGCTTGAGCCCAGGAGTTCAAGGCTGCAGTGAGTTATGATTACACCACTGCGCTCCAGCCTGGGTGACTAAGCAAGACCTTGTCTCAAAAACAAAGCAAGAAAAATATACTGAAGTATTGTGAAGCTGTCAAGCTTACCCTGGCAGATACGAGTTCTCCAGAATTCTGATATTTGCTTGAAAGCGTCAGTTTTGTCATTGTAGCAAATGCTGTCAGTTGTTTTCTTTGAAGTGACACACTCTCACACTCTTCTAAGAAAATGTCTGCCAAATAGCTAAGTCTGAATAATCTTAATTTGTCAGTGGTTCTGTCAAGTAAAAAATGGTATTTTGATGGAGAAAGCTCTACTGCTCACAACTCAAACCATGCAGAAGGCTGTAGTGTTTTGAAAGTAATTTTGACCTCATAGATCCCTGAAAGGGTCTCAGGCTCTCTCAAGTACATTATTATTTGATGAGGTCTGAAACTCAAAGAGGTGATTAACCCAAGGCCATATACTTAATGATACCGCCAAAGTTGGAGTTCAACTGCTCTGAACATCTAACTCTATAAAAGATTCAACTGCCCTCCCAAAAATGTGCATTTTAAACATACTTAAAAATACACATTGTAACAAAAAATACTCTAAATCTGTTTTGGAAGAAAATATAGAATTGATAGATAAAAGTTAAAAATATATGCATATCTGAGCTTTCTATACTACTAGGAAAGGTTATAAAAAGTTAAAAATGGTACAGTAGTCCCCCTTTATCCTTGGGGGATACATTTTAAGATCCTCAGGGGATGCCTCAAATCTCTGATAGTACCAAATCCTATATACTATGTTTTTATTATATATACTTTTCTATGATAAAGTTTAATTTATAAATTAGACACAGTACTCTTGTGCTTTGGAGCCATTATTAAGTAAAATAAGAGTTACTTGAATATAAGCACTGCAGTGTGGCAACAGTCAATCTTGATAACCAAGATGGCTACTAAGTGACCACAGGTGGACAGTGTATACAACATGGATATGCTGGACAAATAAATGATTCACATCCCAGACAGGCTGGAGCAGATGGCGTGAGATTTCATCATGCTACTCAGAGTGACATGTGATTAAAAACTTACACATTATTTATTTTGGGAATTTTCTATTTAATATTTTCAGACTGCAGTTGACCACGGGTAACTGAAACTGCAGATAAGGAGAAACTACTGTATTACCTGAAAAGAAATTATAGTAAAGCTATCATTTTCGAAAACAGTACATTCATATGAAACACCTAAAGGACTTATTCTATTTGTTTGGTTTTCTTAACAGCTAATGAAAATAGGTTCTGATGTTGAATTATTACTCAGAACATCTGTTATACAAGGTATTCACACAGACCACAATACACTGAGTAAGTAGAATTAAAGAAAAATGGTTTAACTGTACTGTGTTTTAAAATATTGAATAATTATAGCACATGTAATGCTGAGTGGTAAAACAGCTTGATTTTGCCAGGCAATGTGGTATATAGCATATATATTTTACAAGGTTATAGTCTATCATATTGAATTATGAAACTTTGTTTTACCGCATTTGTTTCCTTTTAATTAATTTTTATTTTTTGTTTTTATCTTGTTATATTTCAAAACTAATTACAAAGACAGTACAACTGTATATTTTTATCATATTTATTTACAGTTCTTAATTTTTCTGGCATTTATCACTTACCTAGACTATTTCTTTACCTTTTACTCTATAATGACTTTTGCTTTTCATTTTTTGGTTTTTTTGAGATGGAGTCTCACTCTGTCGCCCAGGCTGGAGTGCAGTGGTGCGATCTTGTGTCGCTGCAACCTCCACCTCCTGGGTTAAAGCATTTCTCATGCCTCAGCCTCCCAACTAGCTAGGACTACACCACCATGCCCAGCTAATTTTTGTATTTTTAGTAGAAACAGGGTTTTACTATGTTGGCCAGGCTGGTCTCAAACTCCTAACCTTAGGTGATCCACCTGCCTCGGCCTCCCAAAGCACTGGGATTACATGCATGAACCATCATGCACCTGGCCTATAATTAGTTATTTTAATTCAGAAGATTTAGGATTATAGGAAATGGAAATATAGTTGAGGATCCTCCATTGTACCTCAAGACTCCAGATGGTGCTTCAGCAAAATCTCATTTCACACAACATTTTGTTTTTATTCTCTAAAGTATCTTTGGGGACAGTAACAACAAAAAGATGACATTCAAAATTGTTGGCCAGGTGCAGTGGCTCATTCCTGTAATCCCAGCACTTTGGGAGGCCAAGGCAGGAGTCTCAGTTGAGCCCAGGAGTTCAAGACCAGCCTGGGCAACATGACAAAACCTCGCCTCTACAAAAAATACAAAAGTTATCAGGATGCAGTGGTGCACACCTGTAGTTCCAGCTAGTAGGGAGGCTATGGTGGGAGCGTCACTTGAGTCCAGGAGGTTGAGGCTTTAGTGAGCCGTGAGTATGCCACTACAATCCAGCCTGGGTGACAGAGTAAGACCCTGCCTCAAAAAATATATATATTGAAAGGCTTTGTTTTTTAAGCAGACTATGGAAGTATAACACACAAACAAAAAAGTACTCAATTTTTAATTGTATAGCTCAGTGAATTTTCATAAAACGAAATACCCATGTAACTAACATGCACAATAAGCCACGTGTAAAAAAAAAATTGGCCTTTCTGATGGATATGTGGTAGTAACACATTGTGATTTTAATTTATATTTCTCTGGTAACTAATGAACTACAAGGACCTCTTCAGTTGTTTAGTGGACATTTGGATATTCCTTTTTATGAAGTGCCTGTTCGAGTCTTTTGTCCATTTTTCTAAGGGGTTATCTGCCTTTTTATTGTTGATTTAAAGGATTTCTTTATATGTGCTGAATATAGAAATTTGGTGGGTATATGTATTACAAGAATCTTTGTGGCTTTCCTTTTCACTTTGGTATTGTTATCTTTCTATGAGAAGTTCTTAATGTAGTCATATTTATGAATTTTTTAATAAATAGTGCTTTTTAATTCTATTAAAGAAATCTTTGCCTAGCTCAAGCAAGATCGTGAGGAGATTCCCCTATGCTTTCTTCCAAAAGCTTTACTGTAGGCTGGGCACAGTGGCTCACACTTGTAATCCCTGCACATTGGGAGGCCGAGGCAGGTAGATCACTTGAGGTCAGAAGTTCATGACAAGCCTGGGCAACATGGTGAAACCCCGTTTTCACTAAAAATACAAAAATTAGCCAGGCATGGTGGCACATGTCTGTAATTCCAGCTACTCGGGAAGCTGAGGAAGGAGAATCACTTGAATGTGGGAGGCAGAGGCTGCAGTGAGTCAAGATGATACACTGTACAGCCTGGGCAACAGAGTGAGACTCCATCTCAAAAAAAAAAAAAAGGTTGGGCGTGGTGGCTTATGCCTGTAATCCCAGCACTTTGGGAGGCCAAGGCGGGCAAATCACTAGGTCAGGAGATCGAGACCATCCTGGCTAACATGGTGAAACCCTGTCTCTGCTAAAAATACAAAAAATTAGCCGTGTTGGCGGGCGCCTGTAGTCCCAACTACTCAAGAGGCTGAGGCAGGAGAATGGCATGAACCTGGGAGGCAGAGCTTGCAGTGAGCCAAGATGGCACCACTGCACTCCAGCCTGGGTGACAGAGCAAGACTCCGTCTCAAAAAAAAAAAAAAAGCTGTATTGTTTGATCTTTTCCATTTGGTTGTTTATATCAACTAGAGTTGGTTTGTATATGGTATGAGATGTGGGGGGGTCAAGATTTATTTTTTTACATGTGACTATCCAGTTGATCCAGCAACACTTATTGAAAAGACCACTCTTCCCCCTACTACTCTACAGGATCACCTTTGTCATAAAATCAAAGAACTATATAGGTGTGCATCTGTTTCTGGACTTTATAATCTCTTCAATCTGTTTTTCTGCCCTGCATCATATACTATAATGTCTTGATTATTACAGCCTTATAATAGATCTTCCTACCTGGTAGTATAAGTCCAAAGGGCTTTTAAAGTTACTTTTATTTAATGGGGACTTATCAGAAATTATTAGATCTTGGGCTGAGCACTGTGGTTCACCCCTATAATCCCAGCACTTTGGGAGGCTGAGGTGGGCAAATCCCTTGAACTCAGGAGTTTGAGACTAGCCAGGGCAACATAGTGAAACCCTGTCTCTACCAGAAATACAAAAAATTCACCAGGCATGGTGATGTGCACCCATGGCCCCAGCTACTCAGGAGGCTGAGGTGGGAGGATCACTTGAGCCTGGGAGAGGATGTTGCAATAAGCCGAGATCACACCACTGCACTCCAGCCTGGGTGACAGAGCCAGACCCTCTCTCACAAAAAAAAAAAAAAAAGAAAGAAAAGAAAAAGAAATTATTAGATCTGAGTTATTGTTTTTGTCTTTTGTCTTGTTTTGTTTAGATGGAGTCTTGCTCTATCTCTTAGGCTGGAGTACAGTGGTGTGATCCTGTCTCACTGCAACCTCTGCCTCACAGGTTCAAGCAATTCTCCTGCCTCAGCCTCCTGAGTAGCTGGGATTACAGGCGTGTACCACCACACCTGGCTAAGTTTTGTATTTTTAGTAGAGACGGGGTTTCACCATGTTGGTCAGTCTGTTTTCAAACTCCTGACTTCATGATCCACCTGCCTTGGCCTCCCAAAGAGCTGGGATTACAGGCATGAGCCGCTGCACCCAGGCTTTTTTTTTTTTTTTTTTTTTGAAACACAGTTTCGCTCTTATCACCCAGGCTGGAGTGCAGTGGCATGATTTCAGCTCACTGCAACCTCCACCTCCCAGGTTCAAGTGATTCTCCTGCCTCAGCCCACCAAGTAGCTGGGATTACAGGAGCTTGCCACCATGCCCAGCTAATTTTTGTATTTTCAGTAGAGACAAGGTTTCACCATGTTAGCCAGACTGGTCTAGAACTCCTGATCTCAAGTGATCCACCTGCCTCGGCCTCCCAAAGTGCTGGGTTTATAGGTGTGAGCCACTGCACCTGGCTGATCCGAGTTATGTTTATAAGGGCAGAAAACACAGTTAATCCTAAATTTAAGACGTGTAGTCATCAGTTTTTATCTTAATAATGATCTTTAGAGTTTCTGTGTAATATAGCCAACATTTTATACAGGTAATCACAGATATATATTATTTTTATCACATGAATAAAGTTTTAGGTTATTTTAAATAACTAAATTTAGTATCTATATTTCAAATGCCTTGTTTTAGATATAACAGTATTGAATAGTATTTAGATTTCTTTTTATCTTTTGTTTTTTTTGTATATTTTAATTTTCCCACAGAATTAAATATTTTGACTCTTTTATGAGTATTATACATAGTGCCTTAATAATAGCCTCATTCTTTCTGTGTGTGTTTGTATATTTATACATATATATACACACACATATATACACACATACATATATACACATATATACATATATACAAACATATATACATATATGTAGACATATATATACATATATATGTATAGCTCCAAAATGTAAGAAATTTGATTCCTTAATCTCTCTTTCTAAAAGTTACTTTAAGCAAAATTCCTCCAAATATTTTAGCAGTGTCTACACTGTCACATAGAAATGACCAGAATTAAAATTCTGCTTCTTGTTTAGAAAATCGAGAGTTGTGATTATGTGTTTCTAAAAAATATCATATAATGTCTCAAAATGAAAAATAATAGAAATCAAAAGTAATAAAATGAAACTTCATTTGGAAGATTAATCACCTTGTAGCATGAATTCTAAATCCATCTCTCTTTTTCTTCCATTCAAATAGTATCTACAGTGAAAAGTAAACATTGAATCCCAGCAGCAACTCCTTATCTTAAATAATTTCTCATTTTTTATTTTTTTAAAAAATCACTTCCAGACATCTCTCAAAAGGAGACATACAAATGACCAACAAGTATATGAAAAAATACTCAACATCAGTAATCACAGAAATGAAAATTAAAACCACAATTAAATATCATCTCACCCCAGATAGAATGACTGTTGTCGAAAGACAAAAAATAACAAATTCTGACAAGGATATGGAGAAAAGAGAACTCTTATACATTATTGGTGGGAATGTAAATTAGGATAGCCATTATAGAAAACAGTATAGAGGGTCCTCAAAAACTAAAAATAGAACTATTGCATGATCTAGTAATTCCTCTACTGGATATGTATCCAAAGGAAAGGAAATCACTGTATGCAGGAAATAGCTGCATTCTCATGTTTATCATGGGCACTATTCACAATAGCCAAGATATGGAATCAACCTAAGAATCCATCGACAGATAGATAAAGAAAATGTATATATACATATGTATATACATATATACACACACGCACACACACATATACACACACA